CCTCCCCCTCCACTGCCGTCTGCTTCAGGTGATGACTCGCTGATTGTGCCTGGTGACAAACGTGTGTCAGTTCACTTAATTTGACTGTAGACCCTCGTCGGAGGTTTATTTTCAGTTCCCTCTCATTGTTCATTCATGCCAAGCCAGGAGATATGTTACAGCAAAGTTCTACCACAGACAGGAAAGGGAAACACAAGGCTCATTTCCTCTGTGGGCTCGTGTGCAGGCAGATTGTTTTCAGTTTTCAGCTCTTTATACCTTATTTAATCAGGAAAGAGTCTCACTAGAGCACAAAAAAACTTCTCTACATGGATGTCAAGTCAAGATAACATAGAACACATTGAAAACGAAACCTACAGGTTACAGAACATAAGATGTTTTTAATGAATTAGCTAAAATATGAAGAAATATATTATATAATGAAAGGATTACAAAAGTCACAGGATAAAAATAATGTAAGATTGATAAAATGACTGACAAAATATGAAAACATGAATAAAATCTTAAGACTATATTGTTCTGGTGTTCCCGTACATTATTTATGTTGTAATATTGTCTTCTGCATTAATTACAGGTCCAAGTGTACCAATCCCACCACCACCTCCTCTTGCTCCACCTCTGCCAGACGCTTCTCCCTCAGTTATCCTGAGTTTGGGTCTGTCAGGTGAGAGTAGACACAAAATTATATATTTCTTTTATGCACTTTTGTGATTGAGCATCTCTACATTCTATTCCACTCCAGGTAGTAGAACAGAAGTTAATACACTCATACATTTTACAGCTATCAGAATCAAGAAGCCCATCAAGACTAAGTTCCGCTTGCCTGTGTTTAACTGGACGGCCTTGAAGCCCAATCAGATCAATGGCACCGTCTTCAATGAGATTGATGATGAACGTGTACTAGAGGTAAATCAAGCAGACAAAACACTAATTACAAATGGGTCTGGTGTCTTAAGTCCTTAAAAACTTGGTTTCAATCTCTCTATCATTAAATATTCATAACTAATAATGTTATTATTTAAGAGTTTAATACTCAAAAACTCATGGAAAAATGTGACCCAGCTTTTTCCTAACTGAGCTCCATTCATTTTAAAATTTGTGAAAGAGCACAGAGGGGAAAAAAGAAATACAGAAGATTCTCAGGCAGAGAATTCATGCTGAAGCCCACTGTTCTTAGAACAAAGCCTTTAATATAAGGTCAGAACAATAATGTATGCTGTCACTCATCTGCAGGAGCTGGATCTGGAAAGGTTTGAGGAGCTCTTTAAGACCAGAGCTCAGGGTCCGGTTGTGGATCTTGCCTGCACAAAGAGCAAAGTAGCCCAGAAGGCAGTAAACAAAGTCACCCTTCTGGATGCCAATCGGTCCAAGAACTTAGCCATCACGCTGCGAAAGGCTAACAAGACGACGGAAGAGATCTGCAAAGCAATAGAGAAGTATACACTTGTCATAAACTTAAAATATGGTTTTGAACTGTAGATGAGATAGAAGAAGTTATTAATCTCTGCTGTGCTTCCTCAGGTTTGACCTCAAGGCCTTACCTGTTGACTTTGTGGAGTGTCTAATGCGTTTCCTGCCCACGGAGGCGGAGGTCAAGGTGCTGCGTCAGTACGAGCGCGAGCGACGTCCACTGGATCAGCTAGCGGAGGAGGATCGTTTCATGTTATTATTCAGCAAGATTGAGAGACTCACACAGAGAATGAACATCATCACCTTTGTTGGGAACTTTGCTGACAGTATCAGTATGCTCACACCACAGCTCAATGCAGTCATCGCTGCTTCTGGCTCGGTCAAGTCCTCACCAAAGTTGAAGAGGGTGCTTGAGGTAAGAAACTGAAATTGTTTTTATATCACAGGCATCTTCATTGTTTCTGCGTATTCATTTCTTTTTTCTGGTTTACTTGTAGATCATCTTAGCCTTGGGAAACTACATGAACAGCAGCAAGCGAGGCTGTGTTTATGGCTTCAAATTACAAAGTCTGGATCTGGTGAGCAATACGTAGCAGGATTTGGAGATCTCATTGAAGTGCCCAGTTTATTGGCACAGAAAATGCTGATAATGCCAGTGTCATTCACTTCTTTTGTTATACAGCTGCTGGACACTAAGTCTACAGACAGAAAAATGACATTGCTCCACTACATAGCTCTGATTGTGAAAGAGAAGTTCCCTGAGCTGGCCAACTTCTACAATGAACTGCACTTTGTGGATAAAGCTGCAGCGGGTGAGTTTGCACCATAGTCTTTGGGGGTGGCTGCTGTAAACCATATGATATGCCAGCCCACACAGGGACAGTGTAGACAGCTGGATTGATTAATATAGCAGCTTATTGGCTGTGTGACATGCATGTCTCAAAAACAGGACTGTAGTTCTATGTATGGATTGTAATTACATCAGCTTCATTCTAGCCCATACCAACCCTGTGAAATATGGCTGGATCGACACTGATGCTCTTACTTAGTATCGATTCAGGGCATCTCTAGTTTATAGAAATGTTAGGTATAATATTTGTAGCTGATAAAATGTCTTAAAAATTTGTAAATAAGACATTCTCTGTTGACCACATGTGAAGTATCTCTGGAAAATGTGCTGCTGGATGTTCGAGAGCTGGGGAAAGGCATGGACCTGATCCGGAGAGAGTGCAGTCTCCATGACCATTCAGTCCTGAAAGGCTTCATCCAGGCCAGTGACACACAGCTGGACAAGCTGCAGAAAGATGCCAAGGCAGCAGAGGTAGCCAATATTTCCCTCACTTTCTAAACCACTGGAAAATATGGAAATAGTCATGAAGCACAACTTCATTCCCACATGCAGCTCACTCCCCTCTAATACGCAGCCAGTGATGACTCTTGATTCGACCGTGTTTATACAAACATTGCATCCACTCTGGCACTGTCCTCCCCAATTCTAGGAAGCCTTCAACAGTGTGGTGAACTACTTTGGAGAGAGTGCCAAGACGACTCCACCCTCAGTGTTCTTCCCTGTATTTGTGCGCTTTATCAAGGCCTACAAGGTGAGCATACCAAGCAGAAGCACTGTCTATTCTCTCTCCTCACTTCTGTACTGACAGGGTGCAGCTTTCTCGACCGGCAGGAAGTTCCTTGGTTTGTCTCACTCAGAGCGGAGTAGGGCAGAGTTCTGGCTGCCTCTGTGCCACAGGACGTGGCGCGTAGTCCGAGGCCAAATAACAGGAAAGGCCAGCTGGGTCTGATTCTAGAGCAGCAGCTGTGGTGTTTAGATTGGTTCTCTCCCCCGTTTCCCTCCTCCCCTTTACCCCCGGACAGCCTCGCCCTGCCCCACCACACAGCACACTTCCTGAGATTGTTCTCGGCCTGGATTTATGGGATCTGCTCAAGGAAATGTGCATATGTGTGTGCCTGTCTTAGGGCTGTACCTGACTAAGGATTTCTTCAATCTCAGTGTTTAAAAATTTTTTTATATGGCTTGTCCTAGGGTTCTTTGTTGTCCTTTTCCCCCTATTATGCCATTTGCTAAATAGATCAGACTTTAATGTACATCCATCCATTGGACAGTGTCACTGTTGAAGTGGGTATTCCCCCAACCACAGGGGGAAGTATTGAACAAATTGCGGCTTGGCACACAAAATAAGGAGAAGAAGAGGATGAACTACATTATTGTAATACACAATGGCTGACAAAAAAAATAAAATAAGAAAAGGCTTGACTAGAAGAGTCAGTCGACTGGTAGATCTCTCAACTAATGACTCGACTATTTGATTCATTACTGGGGGCAGCCCTAGTCTGTCTGAATGTTTGTTAGACATCTGGCAAATTTGTTTGATCTACAGTGTCTTATTCCTGATTGGTCACCGTTTTATCTTGACAACAGGATGCAGTGGAAGAAAACGAACAGAGGAAAAAGCAGGAGGAAGCAATGAGGGAGAAGTTACTGGCTCAAGAGGCTAAACAGCATGATCCCAAGGTACAGTCCAAGTGCATGCTTAGCTGAAAGAAACCTATCAGATGTTTACTCAGTGCTAAATAAAGCTTTGTGGCTTGCCAAGAAGCACATTGGGAAGTACAAATATCCTGTCCTCTGGTTCAGGTCCAAGCCCAAAAGAAGAGGCAGCAGCAGCACGAGCTGATCGCAGAGCTACGCAGACGGCAAGCCAAAGATCACCGGCCCGTGTATGAGGGCAAGGATGGCACTATTGAGGACATCATTACAGGTGGGCCAGACAGCACACTAAAAAGACACCATGTGGGTGCCGGCAGCCCCGGTCGCTCCAGGCCGAGGATGACAGTGGTCATTCACTGCTCAGCCCCTTTGAAGTGCACCTTGTGCTATGTGGTCCAGACACCAGCACATCTGGAGCACAGCACATAGCAGCACAGCACATGCCATCTTGTTAGTCCTGAAATGTACAACAATAAAGCTGTTGAGCCTCGTTATGCAGATAGACAGGTGGTTTAATTCTAAGTGTACATGAAATTCAGTATCTGGGATCTTTATTTAACCACTAAGGGGGATATTTACTAAGGTTTTGCAGCTCGTTTTTTTTTAGCACTAAACAGTGAAATTGCATGTGTTCATATTTAGTTGGGAGTCGCAATCTGATTTGGTGCCTGAGGGGGGGGGAGCAGCAGGACGCATTTGGTCTCATGCAATATGTATTTTAAGATGTTCCCATTCAGGGACACAAAATTCAGGGAGGAGAGAATGGAAATTTATAGTTAGTTAACAACATGGTTGAGGGGGGAGAGGGTGTTTCTGAGTCCCATCACTCACCAGAAGAGAAAGTGAGAGATTTTTACAGACTTTCAGGTCAAACTGTGCTTCAGTGACTGAATGAAATAAAAGATGATTTAAGGGGCAGGAGCCTGTGTGATTGCCGATCCAAAATATATTTATCGGTCCTTTCAACCATATTAAAGTTCAGCCGGTGTAAACATACTTTCTTCTATGCTCCCTCTTGGTCCACACATGCACAGTGGCACCAGATCCTAAGCAGAGGTGTATCCAAACTAACACAGCTGCAACTGTGCTCATTTACATCATCGGTGTTGGTAAATTTGCTGCTAAAATTGAAAAACTGCGGTGCTGCAGTATTTTGCGAACCTGATGGTAATTCATGACTGGCTTAGTAAATATCCTCTTAAGTGTAGATTTGATGTGATTATAGCATTTTTCAAATTATTCTGATTACTTTTTAGTTTGTAGAAAATAAGAAAAATGAGAACTGATTATGGGTTATGCAAGTGCACTTCTTGGATCTACCACTAGGACACACCAAAGTCAGACATCTAGGGGCTTTTAATGTGTCTACAGCCTCAGGAAAAGTTAACTGATGTTTTTGTCATGATTAATAATCAGTGCTTAAAATGTAATTAATATAAATGTTACCTAATGTCATTTTTGGCAGCGTTAATTATGCTTATATGCTAGAGGTATCAGTAACTGGTGCCCTTCCCAGATGTGCACTCAGTGCGTCCTAATCCTATTAAAATTCTCTGGAGGGTTTTACAAGGTTACGTTCCACAGAGCTGTGCGCAGCACAGTACAGCTCCAGTTTTCTCAGGTCCATTACCTGAATGAGGGTGGTCCATTGTTCCCTCGCATAAAGGCAGTGTCTCAGGTGTGACATGTTTTCTCTCCCTTCCCCTCCTCCCCCAGTACTGAAGAGCGTGCCCTTCACAGCCCGCACTGCTAAACGCGGCTCACGGTTCTTCTGTGAAGCCAACCTCTGTGACGACGCCAACTGCTAGCCCTCCCCCCCTTAATGCCAAGGTTGTCCAAGTGTCTGTCATATGCCTCCTGACTTCTGTGCATGCAGCATGATCCCTGCCACCTACCCAAACCACTACAATGACAGCGAACTAACGCGGGCCATTATTGGTTGTTTGTGTTCTACCTGAGAAGACTCCTATCAGATGCCTGGTGATAGGAGTGAGCCAAACCTCTTTGCCTGACAAAGAGCTACATGGGAAAAAAAACAAAAAGACAAGTTGTACAGTGTCAGCATAGTTTGTGCTTGGAAAAAAAGAAGTGTTGATACACAGTACACTTGGACATGACTGAATAAATGGTCAGAATCATGCATGACACTTGTTAATGGCTGCGACTTACTACATTTGTAATTGAAGTAATTTTTTTTCATGAAGCTCAAGTCAACAATCTTAACTTGAGGTTTGGCTAGTTGACTTGTTTTATTGACAGCACCTCGTTCCATGAGACTAACTTGTTTGGTGTTGGTTTTCCGGCTAACATGTGACTCTTCTTCCCTCAACCACCACTGTTTATTCTACCCCCTCCAGCTGAAAAGAAGATTAATGAAAGTATTTCCCACTGCTAAGAGAGGGTAAGGAAGGTAGCCTGGCTTTAACCTGGCCTGCTTGGCCCTCCAGCTCCTGTGTGCTGCTACAGTGATGTCAACTGCTTTGGCTAGTGCGTCGGACGCAAGCAAAAAGGATGCTTTATAGCGCTGAGATTTGCTTTACCGCATAATAGTCCGAAAATAAGGTTACTGAAGAGTATATTTATGTTTTTACAGAAATTCAATATCATCTGCTCAAACAGCCGTTAAAACGGGAGATCGGTTATTTAGTTTTACGTCGGTGACAAATCTCCTGCAGTATTTACATAACATTACTGTTCAGTTTTAATTTATAACTGCACCCTTAAATATCATCATCCTCACCCCCTCCTATTATGTGTCGCATGTTGTCCAGTGTTCATCTACCTCTCACCTGTCAACAACGTCCGCCATGTTTTGTCTTGCTAACTGTCATCCGCGGTGTGCTGAACAGCTGTTTGGTCAACAGGCTCTTGCAGAAAAGAAAAAAAGACAGTCAGATATGCATAAACCCAGTCTGTATGACAGTTTGTATAAATTTGTTATACAGTTAAATGCTTTTTAAATTTTTTTTTACCTTAGTGGTGTAGGGATCCTGATTGTTGCTCCACAACCTGAAGAGCTTGTTGACCAGTGTCCTGTAATTGTTATGATAGCTACTTTTTTTGTACTGCTGGATTATTAGTGTCACATTTGTCATGACTACTTTCCCAAAGCCTTGGATTTCATTGTTTTGTGTGCCACTGCTGCTAGAAGAAATGCAAGGTTATGGGAATGTGTTATTTAATGTTTAATCTACATGGTTTATTCTAATAATTCTAATACACAGTTAACAGTCAAGATTAACTGTAGATGTTACAGAAGATTTTCTGTAATTCTTTGAACAAAATATAATAGACTACTACATACATTCAGCTGCCAGAATATTAGGTACATATAGCTAAAGCTAATGCAGTCTAGTACAACAGGCTTTCACTGCTCTTTATGAAGATGATAATGTTCAGTTTTTGTTGAAACTGTTTTAGATTCAACTGGATTGTGTGTGATGCTGTGGAACTGTATTGCATTATACAGAAAAGTGTTTCTGTTATTTAGCTGACCGTCACTGTTCTAAACAGGGCAGACAAAATAATAGAAACACGGCGATTTATTAGGATTATTTAATAAACTGGCAACTGAATGTATGTCCCCTAGATTTACGGCGTTAAAAACACTTCTTGCTGCAGAAGAAATGAACTTAAAGTGAGCAGAAACGGGTTTTTCAGTTTGACCTTTTGGTCCTCTAACATGTGTGTCCCTGTCTCTTCATGCCTACTCACAGATCTCCGAAACCAGCCTTTCCGGCGAGCTGACGCATTGATGCGGTGTGGTTGGAAGAGACCCTAAACCACTTATTCATCGCTTATACTCCCCCTCCCCATTATAACCTTCCTCCCTGTATCCCGATGGTCCATCTCAACCCTGAGGCTGCAGATCACAAAGACTGACAAAGGGAGGGACAGGACAGAGCCCTTGTTTTAGCTGGGTAATTTATTTATTTATGGGGGCCCTTCACAGCCACTTAAAGTGAGCAAGGCATCATTACAGAAGCACAGCAGGTTACTCCTCTGTCACTGCAAGCACGTGACTTTGCCTGCACTGGCACTGAGAGCTAGACCAGAAGGACAAGTACATACACAGAGGTAAGGCGAGTTAAGGACTGGTGGACCACAAAGCAGGAAGAACACAAGCGCCTGCCACATGGATCTTATCCCTGAGCCCGTGAATTTCCTCTGATAATGCGGTCATAGCAGGACTTCGACTGGGAGGCAGCCAAGGGAAGATGGCAACTTTGCTGCTGGGACATTTGCCTTCAAGACACTTGCAAAACCTTCTTCCAAGTAACAACATTTCAATATTATGAGATATTTGGGAAATGTTTTCTGACATTAAGCCAAATCAACATGTTCCATTAAAACTGACAATGGTTCATTTCGATTTCAGCCTCATGTATCTGGGAGGAAAGACCATCGAGTCTACATTACTGGTTTTTTTGGAGAGGCTAACAAACCAAAATATCTCATGTTTTGCTTAAGAAGTGCCTTTTATTGTGTAAACAGTGTTAAGCATCAGCCATATTTCTTTTTTAATCCTTCATTTGTTAAAGGTTATATTTGTATTGCCTTGTACTGTAACATTTAGCCTTTTAAAACTGACAGTATGTAATAGTATTCCCAACTTTTAAAGGCATGGGAAATGATTAGTACATCAGTGTCTCTAAGCTCATAACAGCTGGCATGAGTTTTCACGTCCTTGTGCCTCGTCCAAGTAGTTGTTGAAAACCGAATGACTGAATGTTATTTTCCTCGACAACGCTTCCTATCACAATTTAAGTGACATTTGGGAAGTGACAGATGTATGAAGATGATTCCAGATGGAATGGTGTTTAAGGGCCCAAATGATGGTAACCTGTTATACATGTAGACGTGGTGATGGATGGCGGATGCTACCGTTCTTAAGAGGTCTTATAGTTGAAGGTGTTCTCAAACGAGATGATCAGTTTTCTCCAAACTGCTGAAACCTACAGACTAGGTTCTAATACGATGTTGGCACAAAGGGAGGCACATCTTGACACTAAATTTGGCTAAACATTGTAAGAGACACTATTCATTAACTGGACATTTATATTAATGTACATTGAAACCAAGGAATTTACTTTTTACAAAAAAATGAACCATGAAATTGTCTGGTGACTGAAAGATGACACTTGCTGTTTAATAAACAAGATGAATAATGTAACTACAAGAGTGAAGACTCATTACAGTGCAGGCGTATGGAAGCAAAGGCTGTTGGGCTTCTTTTTCTGATGAAGCAATATTATTTCTAGGCTACATGTTAATTAAAAAAAAACTTTATAACTTATAATTTCTAATGAACGCTAGCAAGAAATAGTGAGGGACTGCGTTTCCTCTCCATCTTTCCAAATGACAGGCAGAGCCACCATACAGTTCTACTTTAAAAATCCATTTAATTTCTTATATCAAAAAGAAATCATAACAAAACAATAAGAACCACAAATATCCGCGTGGATTTTTGTCACTAAGAGAATTTCGGCAACTGAAAATGACTGTACTACTTTACATGATCGAGTAAAAATCCAGCAGAGCAGGAAAAAAAACAAACAACCAAAACAAAGGATGAATACTGTTAACAAGCGAGGGGCAAAGCCACAGCAGAAGTGTGTGTGTGTGTGTGTGTGTGTGTGTGTGAGCACCATGCAGAGCGATATGGCAGGTATGGTTGATAAGCCCAGTTAAAAGCAGCAGAGTGAGCAGTGACACACAAAGAGCAACACTTAAGAAAGCTTAAGACTAAAAACCCTGCTGACAGCATTAGCAGCAAAGCAAAGGAATTATCCAAGGAATGCTTATCAGGAAGCTGATCAGTCTCCTTCCTCGGAATGCACTTAACAGTGAGCAATTAACCTAAATAACATGTCAATGTAATTACACGGAACACAAAAAAGAAAACTCCCACAGAAGCACATACCATCAAATGGTCTCCCTGGCCTTCCCTCAAGGTACATTTACAATCAAAAGACGAACAGAAGCTAAATGTAACCACTCAACTATGTATTCATTGCAGATTGTTTTACAGTGATGACTGGAAATTTACAGAAACTTGACATCACTCCCAAAAAACCTTTCTAAAACACAGAGCAAAATCCAGCTCCTGTCATGCAGTTGGCAAAACCAAGGCCACGAATATCCATCCCAGGCTTTTCCTTCTGGAACGGGGACTTTATTACAATCATCTTCATCCAGCGCACTCACACTGCTATTAACTCATTCATTGCTGAAACAAAGTATGTCAATTATACAATGACTTTAGAAAAAAAAAAAGTTAAAAAGTACAGATTGCTATTGTTACTGATGTTTGTATTCCTGGGTATATTTTCAAGACACTTTGTTAATAGGTTTATATATGCAAATATATATAACTTTAATCTGTGCAAGGAGATAAAGACAATCACTTGGATCTAGTTCTTTGAGACAACAGAGCAGACACTGTCTGTGATGCTGTGTCCTCCATGTGTACATGTGCAGTTAAAACAACTTCCCATTTTTTCCTTTCGGCCTCCAGCAGCAAACGTACATACACACTAAATGTGAAAGATTGAGCCGAACCAGCATCCAGGAAGCATTTGTAGTGAGAACTGACATGTCTCCTCTCTTTCATTAATAACAAAGACTTGGCAACGTTTTATAGGATAGAACAATATTCTTTTTTCCCCCCTATACAATTAATACAAAAATAAAAAATTAAAATTGTTCAACTGCCATTTGTGTCCTCTATCTTTTACATTTGCACAGAGGTAGTGGCTAGAGAAGGTGGGGAAAGATGTGAGGAGGTGGTGAGCAAAATTAAAAAGAAGAACTGAATAAATTCTATAAAATGGTTCCTTTTTCATCACCAGAGATTTTTTTTTTTTAGTCAAAGAACAAAATATAATACTGCAATCACTTAAAAAAAGTAGTCCTTCATTTTATACATTTTATACAGTGTTTCCGCTTTTTTTGTTGCTTTTCTTTTCGGTTGGTAAAGGCATAAGATGAGAGCTTGTTGGCTCAGCACTGGGTTGGACAGGGCAATGTTGGAAGAGTTCAATACATGCCGAGCACTACGCCAGCGGGTCACTCATGTCCTCGTCGTTCTGGGACAGAAGCTCCTTCTTTTCATCTGTGCTGGCCAGAGAGTTGCGACTGTTATGGGCGCCCATGTACAGGGTGGCATACACTGGGTTGGTAAAGTTGGTGGGCTGCAGAGATAAAGAAATTACATTGAGACTACAAGGGCAGGAGAAAGATGGAGTTTAGTTTTTTTTCTCTTTAAGGGGAAAGCTGCATTTGTTGCATTTTGTACCTTAAAAAAATGCCATTTCACCCAAATGACAACAAAACATTTTCCCTCTCACCACCACTTCATAGATAGTTTTGGTTAGTTATGTCCTGTGTGTCCTACCAGCGTGCCTGTGCCAGGTAAGGAGACTGTACTGTATTTAATGCATAAAATAAAAAAGATGCCATATTTCCATCACGTTTTCCACATCGTCATCCACTGTTTGGGGTTTGACTGGGTTGTGCCCTCTTCTTCTGCAGTGACTTAATGCCACCAAATGATTAGCGCCACAAGCTGTTTCTGGATTAATCAACTCTTAATACTCACAATAATTTGCATTTTTCTGGAGATTTGGTTAAAATCTCCACTATATATGAATAGAAACTTGGTTTGCGCCTCCTGACGAGGCTTTAAAAGGCCCTTCCTCTAATGTCCAGACAGGAGCAGGGCATCCTCACACCAAATTGTTTATTCTTTGATGCTCATTTATTTATTTTGGTTAATACATTTCAGTTTGGTTTAAGTAACTGTTTTCTTCTCTGATTCTCCCCCTGAGCAGTGTTTGTAAGATGCTTTGCATGCCCAGACTTTGGACACATTTGAAACAGACATTTCTCAAACATTGAAAAACAATGTTCTGGTTACTCTGGATAATAAAAAGCCTCTCTCAGAACAGTTTTATAAGAGCTACTTTCTGATGAAGAAATTGCAGCACAGATGAAATTCCATTCCCCTGTTCATTTCTGCAGAATTTTCAGAAAGGATCACACAACCTCGGCTCATAACACTGAAACTGACACATCTGCATGGCTAGATAACACTAGGAGTATGTGAGAAGATCTGTTCTCTGACCGGGATTGCGTTACCTTGTCTGGGTCCAAAGCAAAGTCTGAATCCAGGAGCTCCCCAGCATCATCGTCAGGGTCTCCTTCATAGATCTTATAGGCAGGATTCCCAATCTCAACATTCATGGCTCCATTTGTCATTCGATGGTGCTGGAAGCCCTTTGCACTGCAGACAGACAACAGTAAAAAAAATGGTGATTAACCACCTAAGCAATAGACTAAAACCCTTGTTTAAGAAAGATCAATTATTTTTAGAAGAAACCTATCATCACTTGGCAAAAACCAGGTAGCGACTGAACACCAGCTACACACAACACATAATAAAGGGTGTCAAATGAACCTTTTTCCCCTCAAAAGGCAATTTGAACAAATGCTGGATTTTCCACATTACAAATATTCCTATTTGCAAGCAATGAAACATTTTTTTAAAGATGCACAATTGTATGTTTTAGTATGCAAGCACATAGTGTAAGCCTAACATTTACACATGTAAACAAGGGAAGGTATGAAGACGCAAGAAAGACAAAACACTTCTGTTTGTGCATCATGGGCAAAGATATTTCAGATAGGAGTCAATAGATCCCTGTGTTGCTGAGTGGGAAACCCCATGGAGGCGAACAGGAGATCGCAGGCAAGGACACAACAGACAGATTTCTACACTGACCAACTGAATGGACAAATGGACTGATGAATAGCACGGCCAGTCTGACTGGATATTAGGGAAGGGAGGAGACAGGTGAATTATGTAACCCTATAAAAGTTACCGCAAGCACTGAGAACGAGATTTGCTCAGCCATAGAGACCTGGGAGACAGGAAATAGATGGTTATCAAAAGGTAAGACAGGAAGAGAAGCTCGAAAGCACAGGTGTGAGGAACAGATGAAAAATGGAGTTGGAATAAAAAAAAAGTCTCAGAAACCAGGACCTACCCACGCATTCTCCTCTTGTACCACAAGATGGCACCAACCACCAGCAGTGCCAGTAACAGCAGCAGCAGCACTGGAATGACTATGGAGGCAGTACCTGTGAGGGAGCAAATAAGGTGAGCAAATAGGAACAAAGCACAGGCTTTGCTAACAAGACTCTCTGCCAGGAACTGTGTGACTTACTTCCACTGGATGCTTGAGAATCCACAGAAGCAGCTGCAACTTCACATCTGTATCCCTTCCATCCATCAGGACACCTGGACACACAAGGGAGCCACATCTACTGTGTGTGTGTGTGTGTGTGTACTGTATGTGCTTGACAGATAGAAATGGACAGAGAAAGTATATGAAGAGATGTATAGTTAGCGTGGGTTTGGATGGGGGTGTGTGTCATATCTTACTTGCACCGAGGCAGCAGTGTGCGAGTGTCAACTGAACACTGCCCGTTTGCGCAGTAGTCCAAACAGGAATAGCAGCTGGGTTGGATCAGCCCGCTGGGACAGCTACACACACACACAAACACGCAGATCATCAAACTGCAGCATTAATGCTCATAGTTTTACTATGATCAACTGTGGGAGCAGTGTTGGGATGCCCACATATTTTTTTTTTTCTTGTAGAGTACTTTCCAATCAGTGTTAAGGAGCGTGATGTGCATAGACTGATGTCACACTTTGCCCACTTGCTAATGAGGAATCCAAAATGAATATTAACAAATATGTGCAGCATCCACTTCCCACAGCGTACCCACCTGCAGGAAACCTCCCCTGACGATGACGTCAAACACTTGCCCGTTCCACAGAATTGACATTTGTCCAGCTCACACTGGTGTCCGATGTACTGAGTGGGGCACAGGCACAGTTTGGTGCTGTTGGAGGTCTCTAGGCAGGTCCCTCCATTCTGACAGAACCCGTCACATTTACCTGAGGAAGAGGTATGAGAGATTCATATATTCATCCACAGCTAGGGTTATTGGTGGGTTTACATGTGCTTTTTTTTTTGGAAAGAACTGTGACAAACTGTTAAATATTATACAAATTTTATCATCTATCCACAGTCTACATTGTAGAAACATCTGATATTGTTGCCACATACTGTACTGGCACTGGTCTCCCTGGTACTCTGACGGGCAGCTGCAGGTTGGCTGGTTTCCCATGTTGACTGAGCAGTTTCCTCCATTAAGGCAGTAGTCCTGACAAGTGTGGCGGTTGCAGGTGGGCCCTGTGAAACCCTTAGGACATCTGCAAGTTGGAGCACCTACACCACAGGTGATACAGGAACTAAGGTTAAAAAGAAAACTGAGACAAACATAAAAGAATACATCCCAAGTGTTTACACAAAGACTGTAGTTGGGCATCTTCACAACTTCAGTCCCTTGCAGCACATTTTTTCTCAGTTTCTTTTTTTGTATCTAAAAATGCACATTGGTTTTACACATACTAGAAAAAATTAAGTACTAGAGTTGGGGATGTGGAAATCATCTGCTTCACGCTGTCTTTGGTGCAGCCTTTTGGCCTACGACTGCTGCTACCAAGGAACACTCCAGAGAGGTCTCCCCAGACATGAAAACAGTGGGTGAAAACTGTACTAACAATTTTCACAGAAAGCCAAAAATACGCATTTCCTGATGGAACCAAAGCAACATTCTACCTCTTCGTCCTGCGAATGTCTGTACAAAATTCCACATCAACCGAACTAACGGTTGTTGAGATATTTCAGGCTGGACCAACTGACCAAGCAACTGACAGACATCACCATCCTACAAGCTGGGATAGAAGTCAATTACAATCCTTACCATGTTGCATTCTGAGGTTCACTAATACACATGTTCGTATGAAAAGAGAAGAAACTAACCATTAACAGTCTGCTAAATAAGGAAAGGGGCTTAAAAAAGCTTGAGCATCTTAGGTGTTTGCATCACTGTAAGTCTATGGTAAATAAACTAATGATTATGTACGAGTGGGTTGTGCTATTACCTGTATGAGAAGCACTGCAAGTGCCTCCATTCTTGCAGTAGTCCCTGCACTGGTTGATCTCACACCTCTCTCCGGTGTAGCTGGGCTGGCAGCGGCACTTGGCTACCTGACGGGCGTTGAGGAAGCAGCTCACACTGAATATCACAGGGCCCTGAAGGAGGAGCTGCGGAAGGGGAACTCCTTGATGAACTGACATTTTGCATGAAGCATCGAAGTGTAAACCACCAATAAATTTGCTCAAGTGGAAAAAGAGATAGAGCTGTTTACTGCTCAGATGTATGTATGCATTAGGTCAGCGTAGAGTATGTGTGCAGACTTACAGAATGGTGACTGTGTTGGGCTTGGTCTCTCTGTACACGTGCCGTTGTCGGCCACATGGTTGTTAGGACAGGTACACACTGGTCCACTGGGGCTGAGCAGACACAGCCACTCACACTTCTTCCTGTCACATGGGTTAGTCACTGGTGCACAAAGAGACAAGATATCCAATAAAAAGAACCGCATGCATGTATAAAAAGGGAAATCTTGAAGAAATGTGTCTAGGTATGTAAAGTGGTTTAACATATTTACATCACAAATTCACTGCAGACTATGTGTGGAAAGTTAAAACTAAACTTGGGACAAATTAAAAAAAATGTTTGACACTCACTCTCTGGCTGCTTGTAACGGTGGTACAGGACAATGTCAGTAGCGTGGTTGATGCCTGTGGTGAGATTCTCCATGGGGCCTTTGCCAAACTTGTTGACTCGAAAAACAATGTTATTGATATATGTGACCCCATAGATATAATCCTCAAATATGTCTATGCCGAATGGATGGAGCAGGTCTGGAAAGGAGAGAAAAGAGAAATGAGACAAAAGGGAAATATATGCAGACAACATGTTTGTGACAGATTTCCAAGCAGTTTATTTTTCAGTTTACAAAGAACTCAACTGTTTTTGATGCCAGACACAGCGATGACAGGATCAGAGCCATCCAGACGCACGCTACCAATCACTGAGAGCTTAGCATCTGCCCAGTAGAGACGCTCATTGAAGTAGTCCACAGCCAAACCTGTACAGGCAGATTGGAAGGGGCTTGCAGATTAAGACAGGACGACCTGTACTATGGTTAAAACAGTACTGACCTGTTGGCCACTGGATGTTCTCATGGACTAGAGTTTGTCTCAGTGTGCCATCCATGGCAGCTGTCTCAATTTTAGGGTGGTTCCCCCAGTCTGCCCAGTACATGGTACTGAAAGAAGACAGTGTTTAAATACACAAACACGCCAACAGAAAAAGCTGTGGTGTGTTCGGCTGTCAAAGAGCTCAGCGCCGATTCTCACCCTCTCTGTGGATCCACTACAATGGCGTATGGCTCATCTATCATACCAGAGATGAGGGTCTTGCAATGTTGGCCCGACAATTGAGCCACTTCAATTACATCTCGACCAGAGTCGGTCCAGTAGAGGTTACCAGCCACCCAGTCCACAGCTATACCACGTGGCATCTTCAGCTCTCTGATCTGAATACAGGCAGCGGGGTATTTACAAGATGTTCATGTAGGTGCAGTGTTTGTTATGGTAAGATGGACATGGTGAAGATGGCATTTCTACACATATTTGACCAGCAGTACCTGCAGGTTGGTGATCCTGCCCTCGCTCTGACGTCGGTTACGGTGAGAGTTGGAGGAAGATGATGTGGATAGTCCTGGAAGTTCATAGGAGGAGATACGGCCTGTGTGCCAGTTGGTCCAGAAGATGCGGTTGGTCTTCACGTGCAGGTCCATTGCATCAATACGCACACTGGCGTCACCCTGAAACGTCTGCTCATAGCGCCAGTTGGGCATGCCGGGATCCAGGCCGCGGATTTCATTGTCGTCGGCTACGTAGAGGATCTGTCGACTGCTGTTCAGGTCTGGAAGAAAAAGACAAACAGTCAAAAGGATGAGCCTTTAAAAAAAAAAAGCCTCAAAAGGAAAAGCAGCATATAAAACAGATGAAGTTCTGGTCCTCACTGTCAGCCTTGCAGGTGTCATTGATCCTGGTGAAGTACTTGTGGCAGCTGCATTTGTAGGAGCCTTTGGTATTGTTGCAGATGTGGGAACAGATCCCAAACTGTACACACTCATTCTTATCTGAAAAATTCAGAGCCAAAGGAAAATCATGTTGATCTCCACCTCCATAGCAGAAACAACCTCTATGCTGTCATAACAGGCGCAGCATTTACCTCCACAGGTGCGGTGTCCTGTCTTTTGAAATCCTGGTTTGCAAGAGCAGAAGGAGTCTGTGTGATTTGTAACACAGTGGGCTTCATCTCCATCACCGCACTGAGTCCTGTTACTTCTACAGTCATTTAGTTTGGCATCTGAAAATAAGAAGGAAACAAGTAAAAGACAAGAAAGTAGATTCAAAGTCTAAACATTTGAGACCTCAGATTTGTAGGCAGCTTTAATATACATGTAGGAATCAGCTTTGACATGAGGCACCTGTCTTGCAGTGGATCTCATCAGAGCCGTAGTCCTCACAGTCGTTAAAGAAGTTACAGCGCAGAGTGGAGCTGATGCATCTGCCATTGGCGCACATGAACTCATCCTTCTCACATGTGGGAACAGCTGGAGTGGCCTCTGTAGACGGATCACACAGAGAGGTCAGCAATCTCCATAATCAAAGCTGAAGTGAAGGAAGAGTGTTCACAGTAACTTCGACTCCGCAACTTACGGCAGTTCAGTTCGTCTGAGCTGTCGCCACAGTTATTGACACCGTCACACCTCTTTGACACTGGCAGACATACACGGTCATTTTGGCAACGGAACACCCTAGTGGGAGGACACTGGAACTTCCCTAACAGCCAAACAGAGAAAGAAGTCAAGTAGGACACAGTGGGAGAGGAAAGGAAACAGGTCAGAACAAAAGATGAAGCCCGAAAGCATTTCAACATGTGTGTGACTCAAAGGCTGCACTCACTGCATTGTTCAGGATTCTCATCAGAATTGTCCCCACAGTCATCCTCCCCGTCACACTTCCAGGCGAGGGGTTTACATAAAGTGTTGTTACACTGGAACTCATCCAGAGGGCAGTTACGTCCAGCTGAGAAAAACAGGTAGGAGCAGGAAGAGGTTTCACTACTGATGCGCTTTGCATAAAACCTGATTTTTCATGCCATTTAGTTTCGAGGCGTTTTCATCCGATCATAGTCACATATTTCCGTCTCATTAAAATGTCAGGGATAACTTTGCAGACACAATTAAAAAAAACCAATTAGTTTTAAAAAGACCAACATTCAAAACAGACAAACATACTGTACACGTACCAGCACCGCCACAATTCTCCTCATCACTGCCATCCATGCAGTCAGGGTCAGCATCACACCTCCAGCGGATCGGTATGCAGTGTCCGTTCTTACATTGGTACTGGTCATTGTCACACTTCAGATCACAACCGTGCTGAAGAAACATCACAGCCCGAAAGCAGACAAGGATCAGTTTTTATACTTATGGATGAATGAGACTGTGCAACTTAGCATTATTTCCAGACAATGTTAAAAATTATTTGAACACCCAAACATCAAGTATCTGCACCTCATCAGATCCATCAGCACAGTCGTGGTCTCCATCACATTTCCACCTCCCAGCAATACAGCGGCCATTTGTGCAGGCAAACTCGCTTTCTGAACATTGCCGAGGCACTACAGAAGAAGAGAAGACTAGGTTCATGTTGACGACACCTCCAGCAGGACAAACATAAGGTCATGGTGTCAAAGATGTTCAAGTATGTTGATCCTGTCTGTGACAGATGTCGCCAATTTTGCTACAAGCTAATTATATTTGGACACTGCTCTCTCTGCACAATTTTTGTTTTGATGTACAGTATTTAGAACAATTTCACAAATTATCATAATCCCATCTGCAATCACTGCTTTATTTGGTGCAACACTTATGCCTGCGTTACACACAACAATTTGTTTAACACTGTCAGCAGGACACCTTGCTCACAGGCAAAGTCACTAAGGCGGTGCCCTGCTCCACCTACCCATGTATTAGATATATGTTAAGCTGGAAAAAATGAGGTGTACATTATGAGGGTCACCTGCCAGTTTCTGAAACACATGAGGACTGTACTTTACACACTGATAAATTCTCATCAGACTGCATCTGATGAAGTTGTGAATTGTTAAAAAGAAGAAAAAAAAAAACACAGATGATAATTGTAGAAACAAGCATAGAGAAGGCCACAGACACTGCACGAGATACTGCGAGAGAATGAAGAGCTCCATAAGTTTTAATGCTGTTTTAAAGTATTTCTTCTAAATTGGTTTGAAGGCTTTATATACTGTTAGTTTCCAGAGGTCATATTTGTCGTAAGAACTGAAATTCAGTGGCATCTAGTGGTGAAAGGTAAACAGTACAACATGAAAACTAATGTATTCAGCCTACAGACTCTCACAGCTGGGTAGGACTCACAGCTGGACAGGTGACACAAAACATGGGAGCAGTTCACATATAAAGGTGAAGTAACTTACCTCTGGCTCAGGCCAACAGGACAGTATGAAATGAAACAAATATCAGATGAGGTGAGATGCATCACAAAAGACAGTGAATGGATGTTAGCACTGAACAAGTGACTTAGTATTCAGTTAACATGTCACGGGTGCAAAGTGAGTACCAGTGGACAAGGTACGAGTGTAAGTGACACTAGACGAGATGAGATAACAGGTGGTGGCAATGTACAGTATGAAGGCAAGGTTTCCAAACTGGAAGTGACACCCACTGCACTTGTCTTCATCTGAGTTGTCCCCGCAGTCGTTGTCATAGTCACACTGCCAGCGGCCCGGCACACAGCGATTGTTCTTACATCTGAACTGATACGGCTCGCATGTCCTCTCAGCTGTGCAAATCACACAAAAGGTTATTGATAAGATGAAAAACAAAAAGTCAGTGCCATAAATGTCTGTTCAGTGCATCCGTCTTATTTCTTACCACACTCCTCTTTAGGTTCATCTGACGCGTCGCCGCAGTCATCCTCACCGTCACACTTCCATGGAGAGGGAAACATTTCGGGGGCAGTTATAAACAGAGATAATCAGGCTGACTCACAACACACAAAATGCAAAAGAGACGGGGGTCCTACTGCAGTTGGCAGGTTCATCAGATCCATCCACACAGTCGTTGTCACGGTCACAAACCCAGACGCGAGGTATGCAGCGTTTGGTGATGGCACATTGGAACTGGGTGGGCGCACATGTGACCTCAGCTGTGAGTCGAAATAGCAATGTGAAAAAATAATAAAATAATAAAATAATAATGTTTCAAGGGAGGCACTGTATGATACACAATAACTACTCACGGCAGTCCTTCTCATCCTCTCCTTCTCCACAGTTATCCTGGCCATTACAGCGAAAGATGCCTGGGATGCAGCGGCTTGGGTGTGAACATTTGAACTGGCTGGGGAGGCAAACATGAATATCTACAGAGAAACAAGAAGCAGATATGAGGCTAATGGGTAATGGACAAAGTAGTGATGTTGGCATGCAAGAAAAAAATGAAAGGCAAGGAAGCAAATGATTAAATACACATGTCCATTATTTGGTAATGATACACATTATTAATTGTATATTAAAAGAGAGACATACCACAGTTGGCCTCATCAGAGTTGTCCTGGCAGTCATTATCTCCATCACAGATGTAGGCAGGATTGGTGCAGATTCCTGTGCCACACTGGAACTGCCCTGGCCTGCATTTGAATATAGCTGTCAGGGAAGAATGAGTCACAGTTTCAGGATCAAACTGATCTTTCACCAATATTATGTAACATTATTTCTTTCTCAAACACTTACGGCAGTCTGCAGGCTCATCTGACCTGTCCCCACAGTCGTCCTCTGTGTCACATTTCCACCAGAAGGGGATGCATTTGTCGTTCTTGCACACGAACTACAGCAGAAAGAAATATATTCATCAGCAGGATGATGGTACATAACATCAGAGCTGCACTGCCAAGCTGCTGTAGCACCGGGCAGCCAGCCACTATCAACAGGGAAACTCACCACTCATCACCTGCAGTCATTCAGTCATATTCACAATGATGATGTTTGCACAGCTTCCTTACCTGGCTGGCTGTGCAGTTGGACATGCAAGTACGCTGATCATTGGCCAGGTAGAAGTTGGTGGGACAGGCACACTTGTAGCCTCCTCCAGGAGAAAGGAGGCAGAGGTTACTGCAGCCGCCGTTGTTTGTCTGGCAAGGGGGGTCAAGCACTGGGAAAGAGAAGTGTGTTTTATTTATTTATTTTATATTTTTGGGCATATGTTTGCCTTTAGTAGACAGTGGGTCACAAAGAGACAGACAGGAAGTAGGGGAGAGAGACAGGAAATAGGGGAGACACGGAAGGTGGAAGACACCTTCTCTCTTTGATCTCTAATACCAGGTGTCAAACCACCGACGTTGCGTATACACTGTGCTCTGCTGAAACCACTCGGCTATCAAGGTAGAGGTACCATGTTTTTATTCTCCGACTGATATGTTTGCACCATATGACTGGTGTTTTATAATATTTGGATTAAAGTAGGAAAAATTATATGTTTTTGGCAGCTGTGGCTGAGGAGTAGAAAGGTCAGTGATTCGATTCTTGTTCTCCCCGGGCCACGCGTCAAAGTGTCCCTGGGCAAGACACTGAACCCCAAGTTGCCCCTGATGGCCAGAGCAGCGCCTTGTGGGGACAGTGTGTGTGTGAGTTGGTGCCATAGATAGCTGCCTCAGTTCTGTACCGGAGACAAATTTCTTGTGTGTGTGTGTGTGTGTGTGAGTGTGAGACATACTTGGCCAATAAAAGTGCTCATCATTACACCTTAACACATATAAAAGATTCCCATTGAAAGATTTTGTTTTTGTTTTTACCCTTATGTACCCCAATGCAGTAAAATATAACTTAAACTGTCAAAACAAACTGCACCTAGGTTGTAATAAAAATTATTGTTTCATAAAAACTGTTTGTAAGATGAATCTGGGTCTGTGATTACCTGTGTGGTCATGAGCACGAGGACTGAAATGCTACATGCTGTTCTCTGTTAACTCCTCCAAGCTTTTAAAGTTGTAAAGATCACCACATCCATTTCTACATCCATTTGCTGGCGTGCGTCTCTTACCCTGAGGCTGGCGACAGGGATGGTAAATGTGGATGTCCATGGGTCGATGCAGGGTGCTGATCAAGGTGGTCTTGTTGGTACCTAGAGTCTTGTGAGCTCTGTTAATAGACTTTGTCTCCCAGTCGGTCCAGTAGATGTACTCCTCAAACAGAGTCATGGCAAAGATGTGGGGGATGTCGTGGCTGAGAACTGTGGGGTCGCACACAAACAATAATCAGACTGTTTATGAGAAGACAGCAGTCAACATGGCCGTAACAAAAAAACTTCTTGACTATCATGGGTGTATAACTAACCAGGACATCATAAATGGACTTTTTCTGCTTTATTAATAATTGTATTAAATAAATATTCTCTAACATTAAACAATCTGCTTTACAAAACAGATGGGCACTAGGGGAGAAGTGTGTGAAAACATACAACAGCTAATCAAATAAAGAGGACAAACATTTCTATTGATAATGTGTCCCTAATTTCTAAGGGATTCTTCAGTGACCATATGTGGTGATTTTAACAATTAATCATTTCTTATTGCTGCTGCTGTGATAACTGCTGTGTCCCAGAAAGGGAATCCTGCACCGTTAATATAAAACAGAGACAGGACAGGATGCACCGCTACAGTGGCTCCACTATATCTGTGTGTTATGAATGCACTCTATGGCTCATTAGGCTTTACACTTATGTTCAAAAAACAGCACAAAAAGCACATATGAAATGAGATGATCAGATTAGCGAGAAGTGCCCTTTGATCACTCATTATCTGAGTTCAAACATGGTGTAACAAAGGAGGGATCAATAACTTCTGGTAGACCAACAACACCAAGCCAGTATCAGACTGTCAGATGTTTTAAATCCATCAACTCCCTGAGGACTACATTCATTTCATTACCATTTTATTATATTATTAATTGCCCTTGTGAAGTTGTAAAAAATAGTACAGTAGTTTTCCAACATGCTTCATTTGGCAGGATTTTTTTTCTTGACCTTTATGCTGGAAGAAAAAGTCAGCATTCTCAAAACTTGTAGGGCATAAATTCTCTCTCACAAGTGAATTTTGTAGATTGTATAGTTCTCTATATAGGCCTCTGCTGCGCTCCACATTTCCTCTGCTGCCTGGTTGGCTGACAATATAAACTACTGTCACGAGTGTGCAAAACAACTGAGCACTATGCAGATGTCATAAATGCTGGAGGGCTCACAGATCAGAACAATCTGCCCTATTCAGGGTTTCTGTGCTATAGGGCCCCAACCCAGCAGACAACAATCTGAACTGCCTTCTTATGTTTGGTGGCTCTGTGTATTTATTTGGAAAGGAGGAAACTTAGACATTTGAAGTTCCCAATAACCCACGTCCTTTTATAATTTAGCCACAGCAAAATCTGATTTGTTAAATATTCAGTTTATGTGCTTGCTACCAGTGTGTTTTTGCCGTTTGGTGAGCAAAACAAAACCACTTACAGTAAAGCTTACAATCCCCAACTAGTTTTATTTAAGACTAAATCAAAACCAAACCTGGTGAGAATTTCCTGAAGCATGTACACATATCTGATATGTCTATAAATCAAGACGTGCAAGTGGAGCCCCTCGCTGTTAACTGTGAATCTGTGGAGTGTAACCCATCAGTCATGTTGATCTAAGTGTGTAAAAGCAGCAAGAAAAATGTCTTTTTGTGACTGAGTGTGAACTGGCCTGTTACCTGTGTGTCTGCTGGTGCCATCCAGGCTGGCAAACTCAATGTAGTCCTCCCTGGCATCAGCCCAGTATATACGGTCATTGATAAAGTCCAGAGTTAGTCCGTTGGGCCAAGTGATCTTATCCTCTATAATGACACTTCTGTTGGTGCCATCCATCCCAATCCTCCCAATGTGGGGGTTGTCCCCCCAGTCAGACCAGTATAGATACCTAACCAGCAGGGAATGGACAACAGTGTTACTGTTACAGCACAGTAAAATCCAAATATAGCGCAGTAGCTACCATGACCAGGGTTTATTGAAAATTAATAAAAGCTGAATTTCTCACCCATAGCGTACATCCACAGCCACAGCACGAGGTTCCCTCAAGCCACTGTTGACCAATACCGTCCGGTAGGCCCCATTGAGTTTTGACACCTCAATTGTGTCCCTGCCTTTGTCACACCAGTATAAGTTCCCACCAACCCAATCCACTGCCAGCCCATCTGGGTTACTCAGGGAGGTCCGGTGTAATACCTGCCAGGTTAAACAACGTTTCCAGAGGCACACAACTTTCATAAAAAGAAGTAAATACTAGCATTAACATGTTGGATGTACCAGTGATTCAATGGCTTCCAATATCAATATAACTCAGAATCAGAATCAAAATTTAGCATTTGATTTTTTACTGACTTCCATGTTGCTGCCGTTCATTCGCATGCGTCGGATCATGCTGCCCTGAGTGGTCACATCTGTCCAGTAGATCATCTGCTCTGCATAGTGGAAGTCCAGTGCCACTGCATTGTTCAGACCCTGAAACACAGATAGGTGTGGTAACATAGGTGTGTATGGCGGGCTAACAAGACGTTCATCTTGTTGTGTTTCAGTAGATCAAGTAATGTGTCTCACCTGTTTTATTAGTGTGTAGTTTGAACCATCCAGATTAATTTTTCTCAGGTAGTACCGGTTAGCAAAGATCAAGTAGGGCTCTTCTTCTGTACACAAATACCAAATACCACAAAACATATCCTTCAGGATTGAACTGGATATGTGGAAAACAGCAAAATGCAAACCCACGTGCGCCTTACCTGATGTGGACTTGCAGATGGTGGGGTTGTTGGGGCTGAGCTCAAAGCCATCCACACAGAGGCAGTGGAAGCTTCCGTGCGTGTTGATACAGCGCTGAGAACAGGGGTAGATGGTTGTGCACTCATCTATATCCACACATGTTTTCCCATCTCTCTTCAGTTGGAAACCAGGATGACATCGGCACTGCAGGAACAAACTCAATCAAAATCATACACAAGCCGCAGGTTCTCGCAGCACTCACTTCTAGTCTGTCAGCCAGTCTGAGAGATAATAGATTTTTCCATTCACCAAAAGCCTCATTTGTATCCAATTTTTATGTAAAGTGGTACCGGTATCTCAACACTGACATGAAATCCAGTTATGGCTGTCAAAAAGTATAATATGAGTATAAATATCATTTGCAAAGTTGTCTTACAACAGAGGACATGAGTAAAATACTGTGTAAGCTGACATCCAATGTGAAAATAAACAGTGTGAACATACCACAAAAACACTTCACTACGAGTCAAAACCAGCTTCATCTGTCACTTCTCATAAGCAAAACTGTGTTTTAACAAAACTCCAACACACACTCTCATACATACTTTTGCTATTATGTGGGAATATGCAGTATACTGGTACATGCATGAACAAGTCATGCACCAGGGAAATTCTGCATTGAAGTTGTGTATAATTATATGTATAATCTCACACACATTTACTCGTTCTGCAATAACATCTGATACAGTATGAATCTTTTTGGTGCCCAAACTGTTTGGCAGGCTTTTCAAAAGAAGCTCAGACACAGCCTTAACAGTTCAAACTGGTTTAAAGTCAGCTTTCTGCTTTCAAGAAAGAAACCCAGAACATGTGTTTGTCTTACATACCTAAAGTGAGTAGTTCCATTTTTCCTTTTTATTCTCTCTAACTCACCATTAATAGCGCACATGCAATTTAACTGCATGCCTGTTAAATGTATAATTTATTGGCCAATTTAAGTCAGTGAGTACTTTGGCAGAAAGCAAAGCAAAAGAAAACAAAGAGGCTTTAAAACAACCAGCTAGATGACTTACCTTGAAGCCAATCTTGAGGTCATCACAGAGCTGCGAGCATCCGCTGAGCTTACTGTTGAGACACTCGTTGATGAAGCAGTTGAGCTCATCAGAGCCATCGCCACAGTCATCATTGCGGTCACACAGCAGAGTCTCATTCAAACACTTCCCATTACGGCACATGAAGACTGACTCATTACACGTCCTCTCTGAAATCACAGAGAAATGGCATCTTAGTTTAGTGTTACACGATGCAGCTATGGCCTTTCTGAACAAGGAATTGCTCATGTGATGATTCATACTCCTTTACTGTATGTTGGTACAGAAATAAAGTTATGATAAACTTATAGTCCCTACCTGAGTCAGTGCAGCGAGGGTTCTTGGGAGCTTCATCAGAGCGATCCTGACAGTCAAACTCTCCATCACACTCCCACTTCTTCTGGTTGAGGCAGCGGCCGTTGGCACAGCGGAACTCATCTGGGCCACATGTCGGGTATTCTACACCAGAACAAGAGTGCGTTCGATACTAACCTCAATGTCTGTTGGTGGTACAGCAAAAATGATCACATACTCACCACATTCTAGGGATTCATCTGAGCCATCAGAGCAGTCAATGTCATGATCACACACAAAGTGCTTGGGGATACACTGTCTGTTCTGACACATGAACTCATTCTTGGCATCACAAGTGTTGTTGGTGTATACTGGAGATTGAAGAAGGAAAAAAAAAACATCTGTGTTAACAGACATGGAGGGTTTTCTGTGCATTTTATTTCAATCACAGCACAAAGAGGACTGTTTTTTTTTTATGAGGTTATATTGTAACCATCCCACTCACTGCAGCCAGCTGCGACACCAAGTGTTGTTGGTGTATACTAGAGATTGAAGAAGGAAAAAAAAACATCTGTGTTAACAGACATGGAGGGTTTTCTGTGCATTTTATTTCAATCACAGCACAAAGAGGACTGTTTTTTTTTCATGAGGTTATATTGTAACCATCCCACTCACTGCAGCCAGCTTTGACACTCTCATCAGCTCCATCTGGACAGTCCTTGTCTCCATCACATTTCCATCGCTGAGGTACACACATGTGGGAGCCAGGACACTGGAAAGCCTCAGGGCTGCAGGTTTTGGACTCTGCAACAACATTATGGGAATAAATGACATAATGATACAATGTCAAGCATCATCACCATCTACATTATCTATTATCTACATTATCTACAAAAGTTCTCAGATGACACCGCCATTGTTGGATGTGTATCTGGGGGGGACAAGTGGGAATACCGGGGGGTTGTTACTGACTTTGTGGAGTCAAACCCTAACCCTAACACAAGCAAGATGTAGCCCTCTGTTGGTGTACAAATACAAATAGTCAGCAAAGTTCTCCGTCACTGCCCACTTTAGAGCTAAAAATTCCAATTTATGGGCAGGATAACGGGACTCACTTTTGGACAACCCCCGGCTCGCGTAAGCTATAACCCTAGTCTGGCCACCTTGGATTTGATAGAGGGCGGCGCCCAGCCCTGTAATGCTGGCGTCGGTATGAAGCACGTATGGCAACTTAGGGTCAGCAAAACCCAGGACAGGCGCAGTACTGAGCTTTTCAATGATGGTTTTGAAAGCAAGATCACAGGAGGGAGTCCATCGTTCACCAAAGGGTGTTTTGGGGTCATGGTACTGTGCAGGCTTAACTTTGGGCTTTGTGCTCTTGCGTAAAGGTGGATAGCCTGCAGTCAAGTCGGTGAGGGGCTTAACAATACTTGAGTAGTTCTTAATAAATCGCCTGTAATACCCTGAGAAACCTAAGAATGAGCGGAGCTGTTTGAGATCACGGGGCGCAGGCCAAGTACTTAGGGCTTCCACTTTCTCAGGGTCAGTCTCTACCCCCTTGTGAGACACTATGTGCCCAAGATATCTGACGGAAGTTTGGAAAAACTTGCACTTCTCGGGAGATAGTTTTAACCCGTATTCCCTCAAGCGATTAAGAACTTTCATTAAGCGGATCTCATGTTCCTCGGGTGTTTTGGAGAACACAATGATATCATCGAGAAACACAAGCACTTCTTTAAGGTTCATGTCCCCCATACATTTTTCCATGAGACGCTGGAAGGTACCTACCATCATCCACTGGGTGTGGGATTTTTATATTAATGGGACGTGTCACTTACTGCATTTGTGGTCTTCATCAGTACCATCACCACAGTCATCAGAGCCATCACACACCCAGTGACTGGAAATGCAGCGGTGGTTCCCACATTCAAACTGGGTGGATGTACAAAATTTGTCTGCAAAGGGAGACAGAGATTGCTCAGCACTTTAGAGAAATGATTTAATGGACCCAGACAAAGTCATGTTTTTCCATGTGCAGCATGAAGCCTTAAGAAAAGCAGTCTTTGTGGGCTGCTCTATATTTCAGAAACATTTGGCATTAGAGGACAACTTTGTAGAAGACTGACCACAATGTGTCTCATCTGCTCCATTCTCACAGTCATTTTCCTTATCGCAGGTCCAGCTCATAGGAATGCAGCGACCACTGGGACAAGCAAAGAAGTTGACCGGACATTTAAGCTTCCTTTTATCTGCAAGGCAACAGGAAAAAACAATGTAGAATCTTTAACATTTGTTGAAAAGCTGAAAGGAAGTTAGAGAGGAAACAGAGCGCCAGACCTGGGCAGTTTCTCTCATCGGAAAAGTCCCCGCAGTCGTTGTTGCCATCACACACCCACGAGGACAGATAACACAGGGTGGTTTTCTCACAGCTCTGGAAGGACGCTCCTTTCACTCCCAGGCGGAAAAAACGGGAGCAGTCGGTGGGTTCTGAGAGTAATGGATAAAGCCTTTAAAACGTGCCTTCTAAGAAATGTTTAAATTAGTTGAAATGGCGCTAGGGTAATGTTACTTACGACAGTTCATTTCATCACTAGCATCCTCACAGTTGACCACCTGGTCACAGCGGCTGAAGTTGGAGATGCAGCTTCCATCTTTGCATTGGAACTCTCCTCCTTTGCAGAGAGTCACTGTAGGATGCACAGAAGCTTTTGTAGCAAATACAACCTCCTCATTAACTCAGGTTTATACTTTAAATTATAACTATTCTAATGAATTTCATTAGGTTAACAATGAACAATAACCAAATAACAAACAAGTTTAACAGAGAATATCTATAACCTGCTGCCCAGGCTTCAAACACTACTTTTGCATTTATTCTTCATTTCTTCTTAGCCAGAACAAACCCAGGTAAATGTCATTAAAATATGCAGGTCAGGCATTTTGATCACAAACAAGAACACTGAAGTGTGTAGGCAGAACAGTTAAAATATTACAAAATCTGATCATACACTGCACCTATAAAACAGGCATAAATGACTTACTGTTGCAGGGCAGTTCATCTGAATGGTCACCACAGTCATCTGTGCCATCACACCAGAACTGGTGGCCAATACAGCGGCCATTCATGCAGCGCCTATAGCCTTTCTTACAAATTCGATTAGCTGTGAAGGAAGAGTAGTGATCAGCATTATCTCAAGTGCAGAGTCCTTGTTTGCATATTTTAAATGTGCCCTAATCCATCAATTTCCTAGTCTGTAAAAGAAATTGATAAGCTGAACTGTCTTTCCCTGCTAGTCAGATTCTCCTGGACTATTTTATAGTCACATATTATCCCTCAATTCCTTGGTGATCTAATAATTATTGGGCATTCATTCTAAATCGCTCTTAATATGTCCTGCTAATTATCTGCAATGTAACATATAAGTCGCCTGTGACAGCTCATTGTTCACTGGCTAACAGCCCCATAAACACTCACCACAATAGGACTGCTTCTCGTCTGACTTGTCCTTGCAGTGGGCCATGCCATCGCAGGTCAGGCTGTAGTTGATACAGTCACCGTTTCCACACTCAAAGTCATCCACGTTTCCACATGACATATTCAGCGCTGGTGAGATAGAAACATGTAAATTCAGCAACATTCAAACTTTTAATTTATTGTAAAGTTGTATGCTACAATGAACCAAGTCTTCCTCCTCTCTCTCTTTCTCTCACAAGAGCAGGTGTTGTCTTCCAGAAGCTGTCTGTCTCCCCGACAACTGCAGTTGACCCGTCCATCAGATGTGGGCAGACACAGGTCTTGGCAACCTCCGTTATTTGTTCGGCAAGGAGAAAACTCACCTGAGGAATGTATAACACAAGAGACTTTTCTCTCTGCTGAAAGCCCAGCTCCATGTCATTTATCTAACAATATGAAGTCACTATACTCTGGCACAAAGACAATTCTGCAATGAACTACTTAGCTACTTTAAATTGCCCCCTGCGTCCCTTTCCAGGATCAGCGGTATAGATAAAGGATAGATGAATGGACTATTTAGCTTGACCATACTTACAGTTGGTAAAAGTTGACTTTTATGATGTAAAAGAAACAAAACTATGATTTTGAGGTTAAATGCAACAATAGCATGTTGTCATTATTAGTAGGCATAATGTTGACCATGTTCACCATCTTAGTTTAGTGTGTTAGCATAACAAATATCCATTAATTAGCAATAAAACAGTCCAGCTAAGACCGATGGGTGTCATTAATTGTGCACGTATATATATAAAAAAAAAAAAAAAAAAAAAAAAAAAAAAAAAAAAAATCAATGAACAAGTTAAATTTTTGACAAGGGAAGAGTCAGAAAATCACCATAGTTATTACCATTCATCCTGAATATTTGTGCGATTTGTGTATGGACCACAATGGTGGAACAACAGAGTAACCATGGTCATCCCTGGAGCCACACTGCTAGTATGCCTAATTAATGCTACACACACCCTTTATATATATGTACATATACATACGCCGATCAGCCATAAGATTATGACCATCTGTCTAATACTGTGTACACAGGAATTAATGCGGCAGTTGGTTGGCACTCGTGTCACTTTTAGTTCTACTGCCAGGAAGAGCATGACTGTGTCATTCAGTGAAAGATGTATGTAAAAGGAGAGAAGACTGTAGATGTGAGGACAAGCTAGATATTGATTAGGCACATTCAACAGCCTCCCAGTTTAGGTGTGATATCACCACTGCAGCCACTGGATGTTTGTCTTCATCAAGACCAATATACAGCATTTCTCATTTTCACATTTTAACAGAGGTTCAAACTAATTTTAATCTTTTTAAATAGATTCAACACACCATAGGTCAACCTCATTATCGGTGAGCCTTGGGCATCCACGACCCTGTCGCCAGTTCACTGTTTGTCCTTCATTAGACCCTGTTGGTAGATACTAACCACTTAAGACGGGGAACACCCAACAAAACCTGCAGTGTGGGAGATACTTTGACCCAGTCTTCCGACCATCACGCTTTGGCCCTTGTTAAAGTCGCTCAGATCCTTACTCTTGCCTGTTTTTCCTACATCAAACACGTCAACTTTGAGGACTGAATGTTCACTGGCTGTCTAATGTACACCACACACTGAAAGGTGCCATTGTAATGAGAGAGTCAGCGTTATTCACTTCACCTGTCGGTGGTCATGTTACGGCTGATCCGTGTATATAAACTTAAAAATGATGGCAGCGAATTCTACTCACAGCTGTTGGTGTCATTAGCCACAGCGCTGATACCCATTGGCTGCTGAGGGATGTCGGCACGCAGCACTTTCATGTCTCCCCCTGTGTATTTGTCAGCTCTAAGGACAGCCCTCCTCACCCAATCAGTCCAGAAGATGTAATCGCCATACACAGCCAGGCCAAACGGATGGACAGGCTCATTCTTCAACAAGACCTGGAGCAGGAAATTGGAAACATAATTTCACAGAAAACTGAAACTTAAGTCAATGTCTTGGTGCTCCGTTCAAAGCCAAAAGAAAAAATTAAAAGGATCTCTTACATAACGGTTGCTTCCATCATATTCGCAGCGTTCAATCTTATCCAAGGTGGCATCAGAGAAATAGAGTTTCTCGGCACGGTGATCTATAGCTAGGCCATTGGGAGTTTTTATATCACTGCCAATGATGACAAGCACATTAGCTCCATTCAGAGAGGCCCTCATGATGCTCGGAGCCTGTTCGTTCCAGTTGGTCCAGAACATGAGACTATAATGGAAACAAACACAAGCTAAAAATAATGATGCGTGTTGGGGGGAGGTCCTAAAACATCATGGCATAAGTGCCACAGTTGACTAAATCTAAAATAAATCAGCTATTTAAAAAGAAAGAAACACTACTGGAACTGGGCCCTGCAGAACGTCGAGTTGCAATATTCATGACTCACTCCTGACACTCGTCCAGTACGAAGGCTCTAGGGTGGTCTTCTCCAGACATAGTGACCACAGTGTTGCGGTTATAGGCCACAGAGCGGCTCTGGTCCACAGTGTGGCGAGTAATGGTGGAGGTTGTGTAACTGGTCCAGTAGAGTGTATCCCAACCACGGTGGTATGCCAGGCCCTCAACTGACCCAACATCTGTGGAACAGAGAAGGGAGAAGTTGGCCCTAGGTAAATATTTTAAACCTGTGACGACAGTTTTCCTGACTGCAGCTATTTTGCCAAAGAACCAAAGGCTTTAAGAACAACCTCTTTTTATGTCACTATAAAAATATCCCCTCTCTGGAATGTTAGGAGCTTTAAGGTTGGCCTTCAGTAAGAATTCAGCAAATCATTAATCACTGTCATAGCTGTAATAAGTTACCCTCCATTGCTAACTCTGATATGTTGCCAAAAACAGCTTTCCCCAAAATTCCTGCATCACTTCACGAATACTGAAACATTATGAGGAATATGTTTCAGTATTCACGAATACTGAAACATTATGAGGAAGAAAGCCAAGTTTAAAGAGAAGAGAGACAGAGGGAGAGATAAAGAAAAATAAAAGAGTAAAATGGGAAGTGGTATCACACAGATCCATGTGTTTACCAGGCCTGCTGCTTCTGGAGCGAATTTCAAGTCTGTATCATCCTGTCATTTCATGGCTGGCTGCCTGCACACACAAATACAGCTCCCTGTGGACACTCATTCATTGTGTTTTCTTGTTCTGGGAAGAAAACTGTAACTAGAACAGCCTGAGTCAGTTCAGAGACACAAGCCAGGGAGAAGAAGTCAGCCGCAAAGATAAAGCAGCTGCTCTTGATATTCAAGGCCCTTTTTGTCCTACGACCCCACAATCATTGTACATACAGAATTAGTAATATTTGTATTTGCGCTGTCAAACTAACACACCACATCATGGAAAAGGACACTGTACTGCAGTCTGAGGGGCACCAAAGTGTACATCCATTTGTTCTCAGTCACATTAGCAACCACATTTATGACCACTTGCACTGACAATAAAACCCTGAACACTCCATGTAACTGTTTGCACTTGGCTGAAAGTCAATAATTGTTCCTTAACAGATGTCTCAGATGAATAGCAAAGTGCTATAATTAGCATTAATAATGGGCAGTTTTATGTCTGAATGTCCTGTTAACCAACGTAAACGCTAAACTAAAAGACCAGTTTAAGATTAATACAGAGTCACGCAAACAAAGTCACAGCAATAACTCAAGTTGGTTCACGGCAGTATTTTCTAATGAGGAACGGCACTCTTCCCTCCCCTCCCCAAGATCAGTTCAGCCCCTGCTACTGTGCAAACAACAGAGATAACCTGCTGGGAAGAGCCTTTCTCACAATCACAAAAGTACTGTTGTAATTCAAGTGACAGAAGCTTTTGTTACTGTTTATTTAAAATCACTACTTATTTATTTTTTTCTTTCAGTTATTGAATATCATGTTAACTGCACAGCAACTCTTCTGCTGAGGGAGTCTACGGGCTACAAATCTCTGAAGAGCTTCCAATTGGACAACATGCCTCCTGCCACAACAACCACTTAGCATCAAGTAGCATTGACCGTTTTTAAAGTGGAATGTCTGTTAGCGCTGGGATGAATCTGTCCACTGTTACCTGGTTTCAAGAAATCAATAGAGTAAGTGCTGCACTGACATCTTTCTGGTTTTGACCCAAACTGCGCCTCCTTGGACCACAAAGGAGATGCTGATGCAGCCAAGGAAAAGCTAGTGTGCATGAGGACTTTAAGGTTATGTTTTAATTTTCTTCTGAGTAAAACTGGATAAGAGTATGAAAAGTTACTAGTTTCTCTGAAACTATTCCTTGATGTTTTTATGAAAAAAAAGTGCCAGTACTTATCTTTAAGCTGGTTACATTTCTTCAAACTGCTGGAATACATTAAGAGTCACGTGCATGTGACTTAACCATTCCACAATGTCTGAGAATTGGAAATGAATTTTGACCACATAATGATGGACTGTATATTTTTGCAGGTCAAATTTACAGTTCCACACACAAACTAAAAAGAAACTGCAATATACTCAAATTTCCAGACAGAGCACAGACTATAAATGTCAATGAAATGGTCAGATGATCAGTATGATCTTAACTGCCTAACTAACTGCTGTCATTATGGAGAGTACTAGCTGTCTTAATGGAAAGTGGACATGCCTGTGACTAATGCAATTTAAGACAAACTGGAGCCAACAGATGCTTCACCCTGAGACTTTGTGAGCATGCCGCTCTGATGCTTATCATTAACAGGCCACTAGGTTAATTACTCTACGGATTTTTCCTGTGAATGCATGGAGACTATGGAGCAGCACGTTAACAGCAGCAGCCATGGCCAAATGATCTTGGCAGAGACTTTAATTAAAGACATGGTGCCCATCCTGGACGGGGTAATTCTAGTGACAGGCTTTGTTGGCCAAACCCTAGTCATCACCATCCTTAATGGCAGAAGACGGAAAGACAGTCAACCCCCACGTGGTACAGACACCCTGCTGCTAGCTCTGAGTGCTACGGACCTGCTGCTGCTGCTCTGCCTACCCTTCCATACCTCTGCTATCACCTTGGGCTTCTGGCCTTTTGGCAGCTTCCTGTGCAAAGCCATCAGCTTCCTGAGTGTGGCCTGCTCAGCTGCCTCAGTTTTTACCCTGGCGGCGCTGGCTGTAACACGCTACCTCACTGTGGTGCATCCTACCTGGGCATATCGTTCGAGAATGCACAGATGTGTAAAGCTGACAGTAGCTCTACTATGGGTCCCTGCCTCAGCCTTGGCGGCTCCACAGTTTGCCTTCCGCACAGTTACAGTGTCCAGTGCTGTGTACTGCTTTGCCTTCCTGTCTGACTTCAGCCAACTGGTCTATAGTATCGCCCTCTTCCTGTTTGGCTTCGCTCTACCGCTAGGCATCATTGTACTGATGTATGTCAAGATCTACCGTTTTCTTCGACTCGCACGGTTGCTGGGGAATGCTCCCCATTTGGAACGCTACCAGAGCCAGGTCACTAACACTTCAGCTCTCCTGGTCCTGGTCTTCACTCTCCTCTGGCTGCCCTCCTATGCCCTCATGTTCTCATTCATTGGAGAAACCCTAACAGGCTCACCTGGCTACAATATTGTTGCCATCCTGGCCAGACTGCTGGCATCCTCAGCAGCAGTGGTAAACCCTGTGTTGTACAGCTTTATGTCTCATAAGTTTAGACAAGACTTGCTAAAGCTGGGGAGAGCGCGATGGACATGGTGCAAAAGCTGTTTGATTAGATGTCCTCATGTGATGGGCAGGGATGTGGTGCAGCCCTTTGAGCTGGACACGAGCTCAGAGAGAGGCCAGAACTGAGTCTCCGATCAGAAGTAAAACGGTGACACTTCATCACTTACTGAAGTTAGGTCTAGTTCATATGAGCAATACTGCATAGAAATATCTGACTATATCTATATACAGTATTTATTTTTACATGGGAATGTATGCAAGATTACATATAAAATACTCAATGTTAAGTGATAAAACTCACGTTAAATGGTCGTATCTCAGTTTGTATTGAAGTATGTACTGGAATAGGATCCTATCATGTTATGATTCTACTACGTTGATATATGATAGTTTTGATTTATTGCAGTCTTATGGACTGATATGATCCTGAATGTTGAATTAACTCTTCTTAAATAAATTCTTTATTCAGTGGATGAAAGACTAATGTGGAGAAACTTGCCAAAACTCTTATCTCAATGCAACACTAATTAACACACTAACCTCATGCACTTTACTTGTTTTCCTGTCTTGCTTTCCTATCAAAGAATTCATGTTTCAGTATTTCAGTGTGTGCGTTTCTGTGTGCAAGTGTGTCTTCCTCAAGCAGCAGTAGTTAGTGATGTCAATCTCCTCCAGCTGAGAAGCTGCAGCTGTGTGTACATTACAGTGGATCCTCCTGGGTGCTTGTGTTGTCAAAATGCGGGATGATGGCTGTTTACAGTGTCGAGGGGATGAGGGGGCAACATTCAATTATTAATGGAGATGATCAAAAGAAAGGGTACCAGCTAGGAAACACAGCTGAAATATATGTATACAGACAGAGTTGGGGGGAAAGGTTTAGGTGTGGTGATGATTGATGCTTAGTAGAGCTTTGTGGATTTTCAAAAGTCAAATAATAAATGTGATTGATGACTCCACACTTACTGTCCACTACTATCTTGCGGTCTGTGCCGTCATCATTGATCTGCTGGATGTTTCCAAAGTGGATGTCGCTGAAGAAGATGCGGTTGGCTCCTTTTCCGCCACCTCCATGGTAGTCAAAGCTGAGGGCAATCACATTTTTCATGTGATCAGGGTCCTCAAATGGCTTTATTGGCGCGTTCAGATTCGTCTCATCGGACAGGTGGATGCTCTTCAAAATAGTGCGCTCCGAGTACAGCAGGTATCCATCGTAGTCACGACAACTGCGGTTGTCCTCTGCCAGCATGCCATGAGCGCAGGCACAGGTGCGCTCTGCATTGCCACGGTAAAGGCACAGCTGTTCACAGCCACCATTGTTGTCTTTGCAGATGTTGGTGCCTGAGGAGAGTGTGGCAGGTGGTAAGTGTGTTGTTAAACAAATAATGCACCTATTTAATCATTCCGCTGATTCCTGGGGGGGTGCTGATTAGGTTGGGTGGTCATAGTTTGTATCTTTGGATGTTTGAGAGAGTTGTTTTTGTGTACAACTCCTCACACACAAAAAATGCCATCACTGTTATTGTGAGGACATTTCTGCCAGACTTCTAAGTGAAAAAAACTAATTACTTGGATTCTGGGTGATGTGTCTTTTCTTCATGAAATGTGTAGGGTAAATCCATATGACAAAAACAGCCATTACTTTGTACAATAAGGATGAGTCAACATGCATGGGATCTCTGCTCTGCACTACTCGGCTATCTTCTTGCACTACAAGTAACAGCATCAGTACAGTATTTTGTGAGAAAGAGATGTGTCATCCAGTGCAGCGGTGTGGCTCAATGGTCTCCAGCACAGGGGAATTAGCTAACCCAGGGATTGTCTGGATTAGGGCTGCATGATAAATCATTGTGAGTGTGATTTAGATCCCTGTGAGATCTCAGTCTCAGGTGACAATGATTCTGCTGTGGTTGCATTAGCAGGGAGATGCTTGTCTCAAACCAAAGGCTCCCTTTTCGTGTTACACCATTTTATGAGACGTAGACAGGAAGAGAAGACTGATTCTAAAACAAATCCAACATGTTTGACATGGTGAAAGATATTCTGTGCTGTACTGAACTATCTTTCAAATGTCCTGCCCTATACACCTAATGCTGAATAGCAGTTGAAGCAGAAATAAAGTACTTTCTGGTTATTAGTTGCAGTTACTGGTTAACGCAGCTTAGTAGGGAAAATGGAGCGCTTAGTTTGATGGTAGAGATCTCACTGATAATGTAAACACAGCAGAATCATTGTCACATGAAACTGAGATTGCACAGGGCTCTAAATCACACTCACAAAACTATTTATCGTGCTAGTCTGGATTCACAGTTTACAGTGCATACAGGGAATTCATTGTTGATTTTAGTCTCTGTATGGCATTTGTGGAAAAAAAGCCAAAACACGTAAAATCACCAGCCTTATGCTTAAAGTTTAGGTGTATGTGTATTTTGTGTTTTCCCACCTTGTTGCCTGGCCCTGTTGAAAACCTTGATGTCTTTCAGCTGTACACCAATGCCAGTCCTGAGCTGCACAGCATCTGTAGTGTTGTCTTTGCTGCCTCTCTTAATGGAGCCATTGGCATGAGTCCTAAACAAAAGATAACAAAACTCTGAGTCAGTTAACACTATGCTATATAGTAAAGTCTTTCACATGATTCAAAAGCTGTTATGCTATAAAAAGTATGAATAGACCATTAAGAACAATTAAAAAACATGATTCAGTAACCAAATAAATATCAACTACAGAGCTGACCTATCACTCCAGTAAATGTATTCTTCAAAAACAGACACAGCAAACATGTCCATGTTGTTGCTGGCAAGCACGAGCTCTCTGTTCTGTCCAGTTTCCAGATTGATGCGCTCAATCTTGTCTGTCCTGGCATCACACCAATAGAGCAGATCCTCCTACAATAATAAAGACATGAGACAGAGTCAATTCTGGGGAGGGAGCAAAGATGCACGTGTTTAGCTAGAGGCCAAGCATTAAGTCAGCTGTGGTCCACACCTTATAGTCAATGGAGATTCCATTTGGCCAACTGATGCTCACATTGACCAAGACCAACCTCTGGGAGCCATCCAGCCGAGAGCGCTCAATACGAGGGTACTGACCCCATTCAGTCCAGAACAGATACCTGCACAAAGCAGATGACTTAAATGTGCATTTCAGTAAAGATTAAAAAAAAAAAAACAACTACATCCCAAGTGCATTAAACACTATTATGGAAATCAAAATTAAGTTGGCAGGAAGTCTCACCCTTTCACTGGGTGGACAGTGATGGCTCTGGGTTTGTCCAGGCCCTGGGAAATGACTACATAGCGGAAGGAGCCGTTCAGTCTGGCCACCTCAATCACGTCGAAACCCTGGTCAGTCCAGTAAATATTTCCTATAGAAGTACACGGATATAAACCAGCTAAGTCATTCTTCATCTATGCAGAATTGTTTGATATACAGTGAGGAACAGAAGTATTTGAACACCCTGCGATTTTGCAAGTTCTCCTACTAAGAAATCATGGAGGGGTCTGAAATTCACATTGTAGGTGCATTCCCACTCTGAGAGACAAAATTTAAAAAAAAATTCAGGAAATCACACTGTATGATTTTTAAAGAATTTATTTGTCTTGCACTGCTTAAATTCTGTCTCTCAGAGTGGGAATGCACCTACAACGTGAATTTCAGACCCCTCCATGATTTCTAAGTGGGAGAACTTGCAAAATCGCAGGGTGTTCAAATACTTATGTTCCTCACTGTATCCTATTACTTTTAAAAACAAACAATATTTTTTTTATCCTGTAATGTATTAACACTTCTAAAATATATATAAATAAACCATTCTAAACTGTAGGTTTACCGGCCCAAGTGCTTAGCCATGATTAATACCGCACAAAAATAATCAGGATTATGTTGCTACACTGTGTGTTAGGCAATCACCATGGTTAAGAAATGAATTTAATGCAATATTCAACATAATAAGGCAATTTGACCTTGGCAACTGCTAATGTCACATCCACATAAAAACTTAAAACACAAATATCAATGCAGTGTCTTTTACCTCAAATTAGAGTTCATCAAATGCAATACAGTACTAAAATGTTCTAGAGCTTCTGTATAATGATATAAAAATACAACCAAATCTCTGTTATGGTAATACACACACACAAAAAGACATAAATCAAGATAAACATTTAACAACAGGTTTCTTAAAAAACTAAAAGTGTTTTTAATAAGTGAGAGGTATGCACAATGAGCTCCTATTTCTCTAACATCAGCAACAAAGCTATACTATTAGTGCTGCAGACTATCAGGGGCCATCTACAATATAGGCTACTGGCTAAAGCAAGAAAATAGTACACTTGGCCACGCATTTGGTAACTATATTACTATACAAGTCAACGTACATCTAACATATT